TTGTCTTTTGCTTAGATCAAAGACTCTTTGGGGTATGGACCATGCCTGTATTTCCTGTGCATTTGGGTACTGTCCTGCACAAAGAATCTCTGGTTCTAGGCACTACTGCAGTGCACATAAATAAAAATTACTGTTTCTAAAGTAAAATCCTCTGCATTTTTGTATGCATAAATTATAGCCACATCCTGTAATCCATTTTTCAGGCTAAACAATTGACTTCAATGGGAGTTGAGCCAGGGTAGGAGTTGGCCTATAGTCTGCTCAAAACAAGCAACATAACATATTATTAATCACCTTAAATAGAGACTATCACATTCAGTGATGCAATCCTACCTGTGGAGAAAATAAATACCTTTCCAGAAACCTTATGACTTCTCTCATTTACACTAGGCCAGGCTGCTCTTAAGAAAACTATTGTTCTGCCAGGGATAACAAGATTGCAGTGACTCCCTGGTCATATTGCCTTCGTGTTGATGGCTTGGAGGTTGGCAAAAGGGTGGTGAGTACCCAAAAGAGTCTGTTATATGCCACCCTGTCTTTGCCCAAGGGCTCTAGAGGTAGTTCTTTCTTCCCATTCAGAGTTTTTATCTCCCATTAGAGCAACAGCCCTTCTGGGGGCTGTAGTTTTGAATTTTATTCTGAATTTTGTTCAAATTTGTCTTTATCCATGCTGCAGCCATAGCCCTAAAGCTGCTGGTTATAATTCTCCAAAGTCTGGGGGAAACAATCAGTGTGGCCAAGAGTGAAGCTTGAATCTCAAGCTCTTGTTACGTCCCTGCATCACAACTGTTGGTGGGGAGAGGTGTTTGCGGAGGCCGCTGTCTCCTGTCCTGTTCCTGAGGAACCACAGCTGTGTGCTTCCTCCCATGTAACTTGGAAGAGCTGCAAAGGAGAGGAAAGCCAAAGCCAAAAATAAAAACATGCGCAAAAGCAATGAGCAAAATCTGCCAGAATCAGGGAGCCGTTGTGCTGCTGGAGACAAGCCAGAAATCTGTGGAAGTCCCCTATTAATGCAATGGCTTGATTGCAATTGCTTCCCCCCACACCCCACCCCTCCCTTCCCCAGGTGAATCTTGTCTTGCACGTATAAGACAGACCGCAAAAAGCACACACACTTTTTTTTCACAGAGTTATAATGTTTGTTTTACAGGCTTTCTGCCTGAAAGTATATTTTTCTCCTCTTCTCTTGCAAATTTTGGGGCTTCCTAAGTTGCTGATGTGTGAAAGTCAGACAAGCCCTTAACATACTCAGTAAATCCAGTCTGTATATGCTTACTTTTTAATCAAATTGATTGTTATTTTAACAAAGTGCTAATCTTAAATAAATGTTCATAGATCAGGTTGCTTTCCACTTTCTGCCAATGTTTAGGTCATTAGGTGCTGGGCTGCAAATGAACCATGCAGATAAGACCTAATGGTAAATATCTGAGATTTTTTTATAAAGGGAAAAATTCAGGAAGGATAAGAATCTCATTGCTTCAGACCAGAAGACAGCTATTGACTTTCTAGCACTAGGAAGGAACCTTCTGAAGCATTTTCTGTTTGCCATCATCAGGAACAAGATGATCCTGGTCTGATTCAAAACTGCCTGTTTCCACTGCCATAAGGAAAGTGCTCATAGCAAAACTACTCCAGTGGAACAAAGCACGTATATGGGAACAGAAGTAAACGCCAGGTTCCTCTCTAGCCTTTTACAAAAGGACATAGCATGTCTTTCTAGAAAAGGGAGTTGTGGTTTGTGGGTTTGGTTTTCTTTTTCCCTCAAAAAACATAAGGATTGTATAAATTTATACTGAACTAATTTTTTACTGTATTCTCAGTAATGTGTCTCTATATACATATATTTTGGGGTTACTTCAGTCAGTTCTTTCTGTGTTACTGAGGAGAAATTTGTTTAAATATTTTGAGTGGAATACTATGGTATATCTGAAAATTGCCTGTTCTTTCCTATCTGAGAAAAGCATGCAGTACTGAGTAGATAAAGCAAAACTTCGTATTTATTTTAGATAATTTAGTCTCTAATTATACAAAAGTGATGAGATACACAGAATCTGACCTAGAATTATGACTAGAAAATAATAATATTATCCTAATTAAAAACCATATAAGAGTTTGTTATCCAGCCTCAAATCCCTGACAGACTTGTACGCTCAAATAATCGCAGCATTTGCAGGCTAAACATTTAGTAAAAGTTTCATGGAAAAAAAATCCCTAATGAATTCTCAGTGTTTTTTAATATTGTGCCTCTTCTATAACAATGATGGCTTTTGGGGACTCTTGCTCACTTATGGGACATGTGGGTCATTGGAAAGCTTGAATATTCATTATGAGATGAGCTGGAACTGGATGTGCAATATGTTTGGTTGAGAACTAAATTTTATGTAAATTCTACAGTGATGTTTTCTGGCTCAGTTAGAATCCATTCTACTGTTTATCTTTATACTAATAATGGTCTCTTGGGCTTCTTTTTAAGCATCTCTGTATACTTTTCTTTTCTTTTAAAATGAAAGATGAAGATCCAAAGAAAACAATTTTTAAAGATAGAAATAGAAACACTAGGTAAAAGGAATTAGCAATGCAATCTCTGCATATATTATGTGGAAATCTATTGCAAAATTGCAGCTTGGAATTTTATTCCTAGGACATTAACTTTTTCATGTTTGATCAGTGTTGCTGCTTTGGTCCCCCATTTTTAAAAAAACCCTTTGGGTCTGCTTTTTATATCTATTTCTGCATATTTTTGTAATATTTGTTAAAATATTCCTTCTCCAGAATGGTAAACCCAGTTCTCTGGAAGAAATAAAATCTGTGGCATAGCTCTGAAATGAGAATTAACCTTGATTACTACAGTAATTTACTAATCAAAACTGGAGACCTGCTAATCAAGCCTGAATTACCAGCTGCTTGATTTTTATAGTGACATAACCAAAATTGAACATTTGGTAAACAAGAGTCTTATTTATGAGGGGGGGAAATTGGCATATGGCCATATTCATTTTAATATATTTATCACTATATTGTTGTGATTTCCTTATCAGCTGATGTAGGCATAACTTCAGCCACCCACCTCACCCTGGAAAGATGAACATTTAATTTTAGGTTATCCTAGAATCAGAGTCAGAGTAGACCATTTCACATTTTAAGGGGTTTTCTGATCCACCTGTTGTTTTTGAACCTGGGGAGGAGAACGACTGATGCATCACAACAGCCTTGTGTTTGTAGAAAAGCACCTTGGAATAAAGGGAGCAGAAAACTGGAAGCAGAAACAAGAGGAATGGAGAAGTGCCAGCGAGCAGACAGCTGGGAAAAGCTGCAGGAGGAGATGGCAAAGAGCATCCATGGTGACTCTGGGACCAAGGGGGAGCAGGAGGCTCTGGAGAGGCAGGAGAAAAGGAAAGGACCCAGGGGAAATGGTGGGGGTGAATCATCGAGGGCCTGATGGAGGCACTGACGGCTCCTGCGAGTAAGTGCATCGCTTGTGCAAATGGACAATGTGCCAATTATTGCAGCCTATCTGATGGGTCTGGGGTTTTTTAAAGTAGTTGTCTGGTTTCCATAAGTGCAACTAATTTCATGTTTTTAATCATTTCTTTTCGGTCTGATTTCTGTTCATTTTTTCCAGCTCCCAGATGGCATCCTGTATCCACTGACACAGAAAATAATTTCCCAGTATTTTCTTTAATGAATGACCTATTATGAACAAGCAGGGAAAACCCATATTGTGCAATTCTTCCATAAAATAACCGATCATTAATATAAATTGAGAGAAGACCCCAAAATAGGATTTCTTCTTTTGTTGTTTGAGCTGTGTACAGTATTTTATTAAGGTGGCTTGTGTGTTTTTTTAAAATGTCTTGTTCAAATGACATTGTCACGGGTAACTGTGCTGTTAAAAAGGTAAAGAACAGAAACACAAAAAAGATTATTCCTAGAATTATGTGTACAGCATGAAATTCTCAGCTAGTCAGGCTCTTTCCCATTCTCTGCACTTTACTTTAGACCTAATCCCTCATTCTCTCAATTCTTAGCATAGAAAATATATACTAAAGCTAGTGCTGCTTCCATTTTTTCACCATCTTATCTCACAAACCTGAAATCCTGTTTTTCCCTTTAAGTCTTGAATGTACTTATGCCTAACAGGAATGAAGGAGCACAGGGATGAATTGAAATGAGTGAATGGTTTATAGCCTATTTAAACCTTGGGAAACGTGTGTGTAGTGACTGTATGTTTAGACACAACCCTGCAAAGCTGCAAGGGGCCACAGCTCAGCAAGTGCAGCCCAAATTAGAGCAGTAAACTTACCTGCTGGGATCCATGGACAGGCTTCAGAGGGGTTTTAAGCGTCAGGACAATGTGAGCAACTACAAGGTAAACCAGAGTGCTGTTCCTAATATTGTGTACTCTTGGCAGGAGAGGCATCCATGAGGTTAAAGAGTCCAGATTTTAGGGATGCATCCTGTAAGTGCACTCAGAAGGCAATGACTTAGAATATTTGGAAGGCTAAGGAAATAAGAGTGAAATAAATGACTTAGAGTTTATCGGGGGGATATTTCCCCCAACAACTGGAATAGGGCTCAGCTCCACTCCAGTTCACATCCCTGCTTCCCCCTAAAGCCACATCTGTGCACCCAGAAACTTACCTCAGTATTGCCTTACATATTTAGGATGACTTTTACCCACCATCAAAACTTCAGAAGCCCAACAAATCCACCCGGAAATTTGGATTGTTTCAAACTGCACTGGAAGATAACAGGAGCTCCACAGAGAGAAGGAGCATATGAAGTCACTGAGGAAGGAGTACTTGCAAGGAGGAAGTGATTGCTAGGGAGGAAGGCCAGAGAAAAAGTGGAAAACAACAACAGAAGTAGTGGCAGAAAAACTGGGAAGAGGGAGCAAAAATGGTAAAGTGACACCATAATGCTTTACTGTCTCTGAAGAAAGGGAAAATTGTGAAAGCATTCATTTATTCATTTTCAGCCAAAGGAAAAAACTAGGGCATAAAAAGAGGAGGGAAAAAGAAAGAACAGAAAGTAGAACATGTGAAGGAAAAGGGCAGCAAAGAAAGAGGAAATTCAGAGAAAGGAGAAACAAGTGCTGGAAGTAAAGGAGTAGATGGTGGGGGAGGAGGCAGCACAAAGAGATCTGATGTACAGGGCTTTTAGGTAAGTGAATTTTATTTGTATATGTCATTTCCTACTTTTTATTGCATTTCTTTGGCAACCATCCCACAGTTCCATAACCTATGGGTGGGTGGGAGGAGGTGGCTAAGAGGGCAAAATGGTAGTTTTTGGCAGAATATTGACATGACTGGAATCAGGTCATTACTTGTGGTTGTCATTAGACAAATAGTGAAACTGGGTTAATGGGGCAGGTGTTTATGAATCCTACAGGCTAGAGGAAGCTCAGCTTTCAAAACCTGACTCACACAGAAAGGGAGAGGCCCAAATGATTCAATGCAGTGAAAGCAATGGTGAGCAGTGATTTCAGTGCTGCAGGGGCCACAGGGACACATTTCAGATTTATGAGATGGTTCTCAACTGTCAGATGTGCTTCAGCCTCCCAGCAGACCTTGGAAGGTGGACACTGAGTAGGTTTCTGTATTGTTAACTTCCTTCTTTGCAACCATCAGATGGAAATATTTTTTGTAGTGCAAAATGAGATCCTGAAGCACAGATATATGGCAAAATATGACTTGCATGGAAAATGTTCTGAACTCCAGCTTTTCTGGGTACCTTGGTTTATTTTTGCCCTCTGTTTGACTCTTTATAGGCTTTTTTTCCTAATTATCTTGAATTTTAAGTGGAAACATTTCTCAAACATACAGTGTCAAATGAAATGAGTTAGGATTTTTGAAGACTTTAGAACTCATACAGAAGCTGCCATCCTGAGTCAGACAAAATGTCCATGTAGACCAGTGTTTTCCCTCTGAGAGTGAGAGGAGCAAATGTCTAGGGAAAAACTGTATGAACTCTGATATATCACTCATACAGAGCAATCCTTCTTCCCCTGTGTGCTCCTGCCCTCTGAGGATCAGTGTCAGAGACATTTTGATTTGGAGGCTGGATCTTGATCATCATGTTTAGTAGCTGGTGATGGATTTCGTTTGCATGATTTCATGTAATCCCTTTTATGGTCCATTTACACTTTTGACCTCCACACCATCCTGTGGCCATGAGTTCTGTAATTTCATTATGCACTGTGAGGATAAAATACTTCTTTTGTTTGTTTTAAGACTGATGCCTGGTCATTTAATTGGGGCTCCTAGTCCTTCTATTTGTGGCAACTGTTGAATAATGGCTCTATATGTTAGAAATTAGGTTTTTGAAATAGAAAATCTCTCTTGCAATTTTAAAGCCTTATGATCAGGCAAGCTCTTCCTCTTGTGAGTCTTGCCATGAAAAAAGGAAAAATTCCCAACTCCAACTGCAGTCTGATGAAATTAGAATTAATTAAAGCAAAAATAGCTTTATAGTGTTCATACTGCACAGATAAGTAACCTTAGACTTATATGTCCTATATGGTTCACATCTTATGTCACATCACAATGCTCTTATCATTTGCATAATATATGAAATAATCCATTTGTAATGCCATGATCTGTGGCACAACTATTAAGTCATAAGTGTAGCAATGGGAGAGTGTGTTCACTGAGTTCTCTGCAACAGCAAGAAGGGGAAAGGCCTGGAAAGTCAATTAAAAAGCTAGGGCTAGGCTTTGAACAAGTCACCTGAGCATGGACAGACAGCAAAGTACAGTGGGGTGGACTAGGGTGTGAAGTCAGAGCTTCTCAGAAGCTTTGGTAATTTCCATTTTCACATGCCAACTCCCTGGTACCTGATGTAAATGTGATTGTTTCTTTTCCACCTGCACCCAGGCTGTGTTGTGCTTGGTGCTGGGTGAGAGCCTGTGTGGGATGCTCTCCGTGGGGTGGCTGACAGGGCTGTGCTGTGCACCCTGCTTTGGCCTGCAGTGATTTGCCTGTACACCTCCAGACTTGTTTCCTTGGCCTCTGTGGTCCCTGGCCAGGTAGAGAAGGAGCCAGTAACTGTGTGGGCTTGTCTGGCACAGCAACAGGAGAGGTGAGCCTGAGGGAGCTGGAGAGCCATCCAGTGTGCAGGAAGCAGTGTGGAAGGATTTGTGCTTTTCCCCAGTCTCCCATATTTCACCCTGTGCAGGCAGGAGCAGGAAAGAGAGACGATGTGAGGCAGTGTTTCCATCTTCCTACAGCTGGTAGTTATCCAGCATCCTCTCTGCAGCATCTTCCAGTTCTGTGTTATTGTGTATCATTCCAGTCAGATTGCTTCAGAGAGAGACAAAGAACAGATTCCAGGATAAAATCAAAACTGCTCCAGAAATGCACTGTGTGTGGCAGTATTTGGAGCAGTGGTGAGAGGTTAAAAAAAGTTTGACCCTAACCCGAGAATCAAATTTAATGTCAGAGAATTTAATGCAACACAAGGTATGGTGAAACAAAGACTGTTGGGGGGTCTCGTTTATATTCAGTTATGATGAGCAATATTCAGCACTTAAAAAGAAAAACAGTGCGATGGTTTTCACTGAATTGTATGAAGAAACAGGATAACTTTAACAAATATCACAAAACATGTCACAAATCAATTGTATTGAAAATATATTGGGTTTCTTTAAAAGAAAAGATCAGAAAAGGAAGCAGCACAAGCAGGAGGAGAGACAGCACACAAAGATTTACTTCTGAGTGCTACAAAATATTGAACTAAAAATAACATTAAAGATGAAATTTGCAATGAATCTCAAGCTGCTAAATTCCCAAAGGCTGGGTCTGCCAAAGGCTCTGTTGGTTTCCTCTGTTCTTTTCTGTCTTTATTTAAATATTTTATACAGTTGTCTATGTTCATGTGTAGCGCGAACTGTCATTTATATTTCAGTCCACTCTAAAATGGATCTTAGACTATCTCAAGCTGTGCGCTGCAGAGAGTAGTTTTGAACTGAGAGGTAAGCTGAAGTGGTAGGGACAAATGAAGACTGATATTTAATGTAGTTTTTGTGTACTCATATTTTGCTGTCATGTATTTTGCCTTAAAACTGATTTGTAATTTTCTGCGTTTTGTGACATTATGATAAGATGTGATGCGAGAGTGGTTTCCATTTAGCAAATACATTGATGTATTTTTGAGTCGGAGTGGCTGAATTCTGAATTCTGACCTTAGGGTTTAATGTCTAGCAATAACAACATGCAAGTTTAGATCTGCAGTCTTAAATGCTCCTCCTTGTGCTTTGGGCTTGCCAAGGTCAACTTTTTAATATTAGACAGTCTTAAGCTTATTTTAGAATCACTCCTCTGGTAGGCCCACAGGGTGCTTAATATCCTCACGACTCCATTGTCTTAGGAATACAGGGCTCACCTTACATAGAAAAATTGGGACTCACCGTGGAGCTGGATGCTTGGGAATGATTCTCTCACCCTTCTGGTGCTGGGGGAGGAAGCAGAGAGACCTGTTATATCCCCTACAAATTACAGCAGCCGTGGTGGCTGGGGAACAGTGAGAGCTTCCTAATTGCTCCCTGCAGGGTGGGAGACACCCGAGCTGGGGCTGGAGGGGCACGGGAGGCAGAGCTGAGCCCCCAGCCCAGCACTGACAGGGTGATGGCACGGATGGGCTGCAATCCCAAAAGGAGAAAGAATTCCCTTAAGGGATGGTGGTGCTGCTGTATCCTGACCTTAAGTCAGTCCTGTTGCTGATACACTGTGCTGTTAGATTAGGTAAGAAATGTTAAGATATACTGAGGTGGGATTCTGGTGGGATTCTGCACTGTTTTTACACCAGCATGAGTAGGAACAAAATTAGTAGTGTTGGACTCCATTTCATCGATTCTTATAAAAAAAAAGAATTCTTAAGAAATTATGTTGCTTTCTTGCTTCTGAACAGTAAGTCATACAGAATAAAAATTTTAAATAATGACTATTAGATTAGGAAGTCTAAGAAGCTTTTGCTACTTGGGAGCTTTGACTATTAAAAATTGATAAATTGCCACTGAAATACAAGCAGCTCTGCAATATGATAGATCAAAGTTCATTTTTTCACCTAATGCAGAGTTAAGAAGAGCAGACTTACTTTTTGCTCATCTTCTTTGCAGATCAAAAACATTCTTTTTATTTGAGTGATCAATGTACTAGAAGAGCCCAATGTATATGTTGTGACTGTAGTAAAATTCTTATTCACAAGCCTGTAAGTAGTAATACAGCATTTTGGCATTATGCGAACCTCAATACATCTCAGCACTGCTGTCCAAAGTGTACAGTATGTCTCCTCCACATAATACAGATGTAAAGGTAATTAATTGTAGTGCATGAAGTGATCTTTCTTAAAATATTTTGACCACATTATTAAAAAGCTAACTCTTCTCAGTAGTGCTTCCACACCGAGTTAGCAGAAAGACTTCAGCATGTTGTGTTTTAGTGGACTGTATTCCAAAGAAAGGACTAAAATGACTGAAATGTAAACCTTGGAAAGACTTTGCTCATGGCTTTTTCCAAATCTATTAATTGCATGTCAATGTAGCTATATGAGTTTTTATTTTTTGTGTGTAATAGATATATACTATTATTTTCCAAGCATTTATAAATCCACTCTGTGCTAATTTGCATTTTTTAAAACCTTATAAATTAAGTAACACTAATCTGTGTAATGAACATGCAACATTAAACACTTTTAAGGGCAGCAAATATGATCATATCCTTCAGAAAATATTTCTAACATGTGTGATTTCCAACCCACTAACTTACTTGTAAGTTGTGTAAAAGCTGCAGTTGATAACAAGGTCTTGTGTATCTGGATCTTTGGGTAAACAGTGTCTGCCAGTGTAGCTGGAGGAGACAGACATTTCCATTTTTAAGATCAGTTCTGTGAAGAAAATCCTTATGTGGGTGTCCACAACCTGGCAGCTGATCTGAGGTCAGGCACAGTGTGCACACACTGCCATAACACCCTTCATCCAAGGAGGAGGGAAATCCTGCCTGTGGCCCCATGAAGGTTCAGTGCAGCAAAACACTTAAGCACATAATTAGTTTTAAACGTAAGGGGTGATACATAAGTTAGAAATATACTTTGCTTGAAGATGAGGGATCAAAAACATATATTCTGGAAGGAGGTATATAATGCATGAAAATATATTGTATGGGAAAACATTTATAGATAGCTAGATATAAAATGATGGAAGCCCTTGATTTCGGTTCAAGGAATACTTACATTTACAGTATTTTATTTCACGTTAGTCTTCAGTAGTCTGCCATACTCTGTATCGGGCCATGAAATTTTCATCTATGTAGTCTTAATCTTTGGAAAATAAAGATTTACCATCTCTGAGCCTGATTTGGCCCATCTTGGAGTTGATGACAGAAATCCCAATTTTGCTCTCAAAGGGCATGATTGGACCAGTTAACATTTATTTCAGCCTTGCAGAAGGACATGTTCCTGATTTTATATATAAAGTATGCCAAAATAAGATTAAGAGACTTTATGAACATTGCATGGTAAGTCAGTGGCACGTAGTCATAGAACTAAGAATTCCTTCCTTTCTGACTCTCACTTCCTTGTTTTATACTGTACTTTGGATAATGTGTCTGCATTCCCACAGCAATATTCTTCTGGCACACGATAATGCAATAGTTTTGAAATATGCTTTTCATGTGATGTGTGAAAACATAAAATCTATAGATGTGCAGTATACATGGATAAAAGAATTCATATTACAATATGTAGCTACAAGCATAATAAATGGAAATTGATGAAAAGGGAATCTTTCTACTGCTGGGATTTTAAGAATTAGACAAATGTGTGTAGTTCAAATAAGGCAGAATTTCTGCTTCTTGTCACAGGAAGAGCGATGAACATGTATCAGAAGAGAAAATCAGCTGCTGCTTGGTAAGTACCCTATGATTTTTCTTGGCTGCTGCCATTTGGGCCCTACCAAGTCCAGTACTTACTGTGCAGATCAGGGCTGCTGACTCCTTACATGTTCATCTGTAATATGAAAAGACAGTCTTAGAAAAACTAGAACTATAGCAATGCAATGCCATCTCTTCAGAAATATTTTTATTAATTAATTTGCTCTGCAAGTGGGAGCTAAATAAGTAATTTGGTGAAGTTAATTCTTGGTCCAGTCTTTTCACCTTGAAGGTAGAAGAGAATCTCAGAGAAGTGACACTGAATGCTGTTTTTCTCCTATTTTTATAAGCAGTCATTGCACAGCGCAATATTAGGTGAAGCAAGTCTTTGATCTAAATATTTATGCTAAGTGGTTTTAATTCTTCTTATTGTTGTTGTTTAATAGTAGCAGCAGTAGTAATAGCCTAAGTAGGAGTATTACTGGAAGACCCTCTGTAAGGCTCTGCCCAAAGAGCTCATTAAAGGATAGCACTCGGGAGATGATGCCCTATCCAACTGGAATCAGCAGGACACAGGAACTACATCCCGCACGATGAATAACAAAAGAAAGGGTAGTTTACATTCTTTGATACATTTCTGCTCGATTAACCCCCAGTGGGATTTTACCCCTCCAGTCACATTTTTTTGTTCCTCTAATCTTCTTTTGTATTTGCTCACTGACCCCAAGCATGTATTTGACTTGTGACCCTATTTCTGTTAATAAAATACAGGCCATCTGACCAGCATTCGCACCACTCAGCTACAAGGTGATGATTACCTCATTGTAAATGCTCTGAGTTAGCAACTCCCAGTGTAAGGCTGGTGGTTGGGTGGGCTGAAGATAACCAGTGGAGGCAGCAGAAGCATAATCTGAACTGTGATTTCGAAACCAAACTACAGATAATAAACTCCTTCAAAATATGTAACTCTGTCCGTAGAAGAATTGTATATCTCCTTATGTATTGTTCAGCTATTAATTAGTTGATAATGTTTAGGGGATTATGGCATGACAAAAAACAATTATAGCTATAATGTGGAAATTTTCAGTGTCTGTATGGGTGGTAGCTTATAAAATCAGAATTATCCTATTTCCATTTTGGGTTATCAATTATAATAATATGCCTCATGAAAAAAATACATCAGCACTCAATGGTAATAATTTCAGTATAATGTTTTGAGGCTAAATTAACACTTGAAAGCATAGGTGAGCTCTTTTCAGGCAAATATTTGTTTTTAAAGCACTAGCAGATGTGCAGGGTGTTTTTTTTTTAAGAAAAGGCATAGTAATGAACTTATTCATGCTTTCACCAAATCCTTAAACCATGAATCTTATGAAGAACACTGTTAATTGTGTGTTACATGAAAAAATCATGCCAAAGCCATTTATCAGATATGTAATCTGTGTCTCTGTTTTGTGACAGGAAGCCATTATTTCCACTGAAAAAACAAATCTGTTAAATTTGAACTATTAGATTACAGCAGGGTTAAGGCTGCTTCTGTGCTGTAGAGTCACATCAGGGTCACAGCCCAGTTCGAGAGATGTACTGCAAGAGCTTCATATCTGATTAAGACAAAAAACTGATAAAAATGTAATGCAGACTAACAATATAGAATTATCTGATGTAGTTTGGGGGGATAGGGGCAGGGGGTATAACATCATTCAGTTTATTTGCATATGTTTGTTCTTTCTACTGAAATCAATCTCTTTGAAGGAAGCAAGAAAACTTTAGAAAAAGAAAATATTATTAATGCTGGTAAGAGAACACAGAAGAAAATCTTTAGTAAACATTTCTTTTCCAGTGTTGATTATCATTCTGTCTAATGTTTATTTTCATAGTTTTCTTTGATCCAAACACAAATAACAATAAAGTTAGCTTCATTTCTTTGAACTAACAAAACTATACTGTGGCCAAATTTGGAACAAATTTTTAAGTGGCTTTTTTGTTTTTCTTCAAAGCCACATACCAGATTTATAGAGTAGATATTTGCGTAACTCACACCCTCTCCTATACAGGAATGTTTCCATGGCCAACAGTAATTTACCTGCTGTGGGCCTCCTCCTGACTGTGTTGAAGGGCTGAGAGCTGTGAACATCTTGGGCACGTACTCAATAGTGGTCCAGGGAGCACCAGTGACCAGGGCTCTGGGCCAGGGCTCAGCCCCTTGTGTTATGGAAGTTGTTAGTTTGTAGGGATGGAGTGTGGCTCCGTGGGGGTGGCTGGTGAGTTTAAACCCAGAATGGGGTCAATGAACCCTCACTGCAGTTCCTGGCCACACAGAGAGGCCGGGCAAGGGTGGCAGAGCACCAGCTCTGTGCCCATGGGCCCCCCTGCTCAAGGGGAGCTGAGAAGGTGTTGTTACTGCTCCTCGCTCCTGGACCAGACACAAGCACAGGTTCTGTCTTCACAATCTGCTCCCATCAGAATCTGACAGACAAGTATCTACCATAGACTTAGAAACAACTACATTCCTAATGTAAATATTGTACAGTTGTAAAATATGTACTACAGTATTTACCATAGTGCTTGAGACTAGGTCTGCATTGCTGGGGGAGTTTTAGTCTGTACATATTTAAAAACTCTGCCAAATCACAGATCTGCTTAGGAGACCTGGCAGTACCTGCTGGGGCAGTGGTCAAGAGTCCGTATCAGTGATGGAAAGCATGTATGTCACCCTCAGATTACAGCCAGCATCTATTCTGGCTATTCTGTTCAGCCCTCCTGCATGTAAATATTGTCTCTGAAAGTGGTGAAAGTTATGAACAAAGACCACAATGTCAGTCAGGAACCACAGCCTCAGTCAGTCAGCTACAGAGGAGCCATATGCTGGATAAACTGACTGCTTTTAAGATTTTTGAGGATATGATACAGAAATATGTATCCAAAATTCACTATTATTTTGCTCTCCCATTATATTCCCTTGTTTGTCCCACTGCTTAGCCTAGCTGAAACAAGGGCATCCAGGCTAATGATTGATTGCCTCTGTGAGCAGGTCCAAGTTTCATTCTTAAATCAGCCAGCATGTGGTTGATGACAAGGACAAAGCCAACCCTCATCACTCCCTAAGCAAATCATCTTCTGCTTTACTGTACACTTCGACCAAATTATGATTTCACCATTGAAATAAGTGTTAAAATTTCCACCAGCTTTGAGTGGATTTGGATTTGGCCATTGGCTTCTAGGTGCAAATGGCCTCTTAAAGAGCTTACTTTTTAATCAGGAGGTGTTTAAGTGCTTCAAGAGAATATAAAAATAGTAATGAATGCAAATGACATGAGATCAGGTATTGCTAAAAAGTGTCATTAGAAAATGTTTAAGGTTAAATGAGAACTAATACCAGTGCCTGCAGGTGACTCACATTTAAGCAAAAATGAAAATTTGGGTTCTAAACTGTGTAGAAGAGTTTTTTTGTGAGCTTTTTTGCTTTTTTTTTTTTTCAGTGAAGCCATTGTTGGTTGGGTTGGAGAGGTTTTTAATACATATAAAAAAAATGCCAGATAGAAAACAGTTGTTAACTTTTGCAGTTTGTTCCACTCAAAATAGAGTACTTCTGGTCCTAGAGGAGAAATTCTGAGATGGTCACTAAAGGCTCCTGACTAAATGTGCAGAGCCCTTCCCTGCAAAAGCAGACTATCTCCACTACAAGCACAACCAAAAAACATTACTTATTTAGTTTCTTTTTTTTCTTTCTAACTCTGTGAAAGCAGGAATATCAGAGCTGATACTGTTATTATTGTACAGTTCATTTTCATATAAAAATAGTTAGAAATATGGGATTGGAAAAAGCCTGACAGCTCTAGGCTGTGTTTCCTAAATTCCTGGTGATGGTAACATAGGTACAAAGCCCAGAGTGAGCCCACAGCAACATCCACTGTAGATGTCCCAAGGAACAAAGCTAGAAAAGTTAGAGAGCTACATAATACCCATTTCTTGATGGAAGAGTTTGAATCAGTGCATTTCCAAAAGTCATGAGCTTTATATTCTTACTTAAGTAAAAATACACAGAAGTGCTCATGTGCTAGAAAAAACTCTCCCCTTGTTATGGAAGGGACCAGGACTTTGGTACGTAGAAGCAGAGCCACTTGTATTCCCTCATCCCTGAGGCTGTGTGGCTTGCTGGGCAATTCAGAGCTAAACACAAAATTGTGCTCACTGTTTTTCCCTCCTCCCTTCCTGAAAAAGTGTTTCTACCCTGCCTTTCTGCAAAGATGAGCAGAAGGCCTTGTAGATGAGTGTAGTAACATCTGCCTGACTCTGCAGAAGCCTGAAGCAGCAGCAATGAGAGCTATAATGCTTGAAAACTAAAGATGGTCAGCTATGCCATGCTGAAAACTCAGGCTGTGTTACAGCTCAGAACAAATGGGAATCCATGTACAAATAAATAGTGTATAGCTTACTGTAGTGATGGCCCCATTTTGGAGGGGTTGTGTTTGCGTTTTAATATTCAGCTAAATAATATTTAATTTAATGTTCTATTATTTTTGTATTCAAATGAAATCAAATATCTGCAGTTGTTGTGATAACATGCATTGCCACTGACGGCCCAGGCTGAGGTGGGTGCAAAGGAAGCAGGTGATGTCCTGGCCTAGCTACTTTGTAGAGTAGGTCTGCCTTGAAAATTCCTCTTCAAAATGTAGGACTACTGCGTTCTTCACATCTAGGGTCTTAAACATGAGTTGTGCCTTGAAAATCTTATGTTATATAGTCCCATGGTAATTCTTCTTCCTTTATCTCTAGTAATTTTCCTCTGCTGGGTCCCGTCTGTCCCTTCTGCTCAGCAGGGGAGGTTGTTCCTTTTCTTTGTTCTATTAATTCTCTCACAGCTACTATCTACTACATTTCATGTAACATCCACATTCAAGCTACTAAACCAGTGTTCAAGCATATTAAATCCTCCATTTTAAAACAATAATGAAAGGTTTTTACTAAATAAATACATAGAGCTTCTCTTAGGTCATGCAATAAGGAAACTGAATATAGAGCTAAAGTTCCCAGAACTTGGGAGGACAAAGGAGCAGTTTACCACAGAGCCTTTCCCAACACTCAGAGTTCTGATAGTCCTTGGAGGAAATAATAAATCTTTCTCTTTGTCACTCTTCTCTAGGTTCCTTTTGTTGTTTAGGATTGAAAAAAATAAAAAGTGTAGGTACTACTTACAAGGCAGCTTCCTTGATGTTTCTGGTAGTCCAATCAAGGGACAAGATTGTGTGTATAGGAAGGGGAGATGAACAGTTCATCCTGTAAAGGAATTAAAAACAAAAGTGGAAATCTTTTTAAGAAGAAGAGTGGTGGGGATTATACCTGCATGCTTTCACTAATGACTTTGCAAACATTTAGCCAGAGATAACCTAGAAATCCAGTTGCACTTTATTTAATATTCAGATAAGGACCATTCACCTGCTGTTAAGCTACAACATCTACAATCATTCTTTGAATACTGATAATTATATGAAGCAGGCTTCCCCAGAGGCTGGTAGTCTAGTCTGGATTCACCTGGAATACAAAGATGAATAATATTGCATATTACATGCACCCAAGTAGTTACAATTTATAGAAATGTCCATTTATACTCCTGAAAAAAAGATGTGTATTTCCCTAGGGATATAGTATATGGTGATAAAAACCTGTGTGGGGGACTGTTTGGATTGTAACTCCTAGTGTGCACGTTGTTGAGTAATTGATAAACAAATAAATCATTATATTTAGCCAGATATCTCACTACAGGCCCACAAAAGAGAAAATGTTAAAAAGGAATTTTGTGTGCCTTGCCATAAGGGTTACTCAGAGACACAAGAAATGAGTACTAGAAGTGGCATCCAAAGGCTCAGAGTCGATGTGTGTACACATTTCTAAAGGATGAGTAGCATTATGAATATGCTCTCCTCGCCCCCTCCTCTCCTCCTCTTTCTCCCATCAGGTGCCTTGTCCTTGTTCTCCCCTCTCATTTGCTGATGGCTGATAACACCTTATCTCCACCAGGGAAGCAACTGGGAAGTTTGCTCCTTCCTCACAAGACTGAGGGTATAATTAGAACCACGCACCTGCTCAGTCCTCCGGTGACTCAGTTAGTCTACATCCATGTCAAAATCCATGCTGTGAGGGTAATTTGATCATCTCACTTACTTTTTTCATATACTTTATATGAATAAACCACCAGTACAGGCCTCCGTTGAGTTGGTTCAGTTTAATCTCACAAATTTGTGTCAACTCTTTGTTGCCAGAAGAATTTTATCATTTGATCTCATGGTTACACTTTAGTAGACTTTAGTACATATTTTATTTCACTCTCCAGAATATAAAATTCCATTTTGTGTCAAAATCATCTTTTTATTATTATCTATTTATATTTCTGAGATACTTACAGACTTCAACTGAGATCAGGGTCTTGTTGTGCGAGACAATACAGAAACATGCAATAAAAGAATTCTAGTCCCAGGAGCCTTGTAAGCTGAATAAAGGCTGGGAGAAAGGAAATATTACCTCTTTTTACAGATGGGAAACCAAGGCTCTGACAATCTCTCTGTACAACGCAGTGTTGTGCCATACAGTGATTCTGAAGAGAGAGTTCTGAAAAAGCAACAAAGTCCAGAAACTATGCAAAATAAAGATGGATTTAAACCCTATTATACTGGCAAGCATCCATGCAAATCCAAATAAGTTAGAGATGCACACTGATTTCATTTGCACACTGGGCATCCCAAGGCTCCCTTGGCCTTCTCCATCCTCATGTGTCTCCCAGACCCCCTTGAAAGGCAGACAACACCGTTTTTTTGATGCTGTCTTAAGCTTGTACAAGTTTGCCACTGCTTCCTCTAGCACTTAACAAAAATGTACCTCAAGCCCTGCAATGCCACAGGGGTGTCAAATCTCTCTGACTGCAGCAGTTTCCAGGCTCAGCAGAGATACATCAAGGGTCTGTTGGGTTCTCCTTCCCAGCATCCGAAGGGTAACGTGATCTTTTTGTCCTTGGACAGAGCCTGGAATCTCCTGTGTTAGAACACTTCGCTGCTCCCAGAAGGCCCTGTAAGATCCCAGGGAGGCAGCAGCCAACAGAGGATATTCACTAAAGACCAAGCAGCAGAGCAGCACTTTGGTATTCCCTGAAGACATCAAAAATGAGAGGAAATGGTAAGTTCACTGTCTCCCTTTCAAAGATGACTAAATTTAGGAGGGGAGTCTGCCAGGAATGGGGGGGGGGGGGGGGGCGGATGTAGGACTTTGTACAGAGGTGCTTGTGCCCCCTCAGATCCGCTGGGTTGCTGCAGACATTCACACACCAGCCTGCTGAATTTGGTTTGCAGAACTCTGTGAGCTAAACTCTTCACCATTCTAACTGCACCACTATAACACTGCCTTTCGACTAAAAACCAGTTCAGACTAATTGTCAAGAATCAGATAACAGGAAAATATTTCTATTTGACAGTCTACTATTTTTCAATTGTTCCTCTGTTACATATCTAAGTAAACATTTGTTCCACTTATCATTTCTGAGGAAAAGACATGAATCATTTGACTAGTAAAACCACAACGACAGCTGTTGCTTATTAGAAACAGTCATCTTGTTCAAGAGCCTGCTATGGAGGAGTTCTTCAGGAAACTGTTTCTCCTTTTAGTGCTTTACAGTGCAATGAAAGCAAAGTTGTAGAAATTAGAGCATTTTTGTTTCACTTATGTGATTGGCAAAACACCCAGGTGCACACACATGGAACAATCATTACAGCTGAGTTAGAAGCCCCCAAGAAACAGGAAAATACTCAATTAAGAACACTACTAATGATGTCATACTTATGTTCTTCGACTTTGTGGCATTTATACAGACCCTACATTATAGGTGAAACAAAACTGGATTTACGGGTCCCTTGGTAAACAGATTGTAGTGTTTGGGATTTTGGTGTTAGATGCAATATTTATACCAGTTATTATGCATGTACCAGAAATATTTTTCATCATTTATGTTTTTTCCGCTCTTAGGAATAAATTGACCTTGGATTCATAAAATCCCTAGAAGCCAGTCCTCAGTGGTCGCTAGTACATTACTTTCAGAAAAAGCTTTTCAGGCCAGTGATTAAAAAATAAAAAAGAATAATTTTTAAAAGTCTGGTCAGGATGGAAAAAACAGGGAGAGCAACAAAATACTTTTTAAATTAGAAACAAAATAAGAAGCAAAAATTGGACCTTGACAAATTCAAGAACAATGAAGTGAAACTAAGTCAGGTTAGACATAAAGATTTTTCCCTTCCTGGAGTGTTGATTCAGAGGCTTAATAGACCATAAGGGCCAAAATCTGTTTCTGTGACCTGTGTGGAACAAAATTGTATTAAACAGAGGCCTAAGAGTTAGGAATTTTATGAGACAAAAATCACTGGAATGGTATACCCTGTATGATGCCATTATTGTCAGCTTTGAAGGGAGAAGCCAAAGACTAAATGAGCATAGAGACTGCACTGATCCCAGCAGAGCAGAGGGGAGGAACCTTGGCAGGGCAGTGTAGAGATGCTACCAAGTAGTCTGCTCTGAAGGTAACAGGAGAGCTTGTGGCTTTATGGCTGTTACTTAAATACCTTTCAAACCCACAAAATTAATTTGCAAACACTGAATAAGAAAGAGTGAAAAAGAAAATCATTTAAATGGATTGTTGGATTACGCAAAAAAAAAAAAAAAGGAAAACAGAGCTGGGAAACTGGAGAGAAGTGTGTCACTGAGCTGAGGTTTATTATGAGTTAGAAATCTGCAAAACTGTCACCAATTCAATAATAGTATTCAGGGAGGTTTCTAGAGATCATATCCTGCCCTTCATTCACCCTCCCAACACTCAGTGATGGGAGTCAGCACTTTGCTGCAGCTGGATATTTAGAAGTCATTTGTTCTGTGTAACATGCCTGTTCTTACTAATCTTAGTCAAGTAAGTAGTCCATCCTCATGTGTCATCCCACGGAAGTCAAATGTGCTATTAGCATAAGTGATGATTACTTATCTGTGTGAGGTCCTGGGAGGTTGGGTCTTTCAGCATCAGTATACTTGACATGGCAGTCTTTCTATTGTAATTTAATAAAATGGGGCCCAATTCAGTTCAGAGGTGCCTTGAGGAATAAGCTGGACTTAAATGGTGCTTAGGCCTTTGACTGGACCTCTGCAAAGCTTTCATTCATTGAGTGAATGCTAATTAGTCAGAAGGGGGTTATTAAATAATAGACTCAGTTCTTTATCTTTGCTTAGAGCACGATACCTTTGCAAGTACCTGAGCAAAGAACTGTAAAATCTGAACACACTCAGAGGAAATTTCAGGTACAATTTCTTTCCTTGGTAAAGACAGGGACTGCAAAAATGTCATTAATAAACAGTACAGAGAATTTGTACATGTCAATTCTAGAATACAGTGCACTAAAAATGGGCAGCATAAGACAGTGTGGAAAACTGCATCTCACAGCTGCACTGGAATGGAGATCTCCCCTCCAGACAGGGGGGTGGAAAAGGCCTCATCCAGAACCCTGTGCACTCTGGTTATCTGAGTCTGATGAGTTCTGAATTAGGCCCTTCTTGAGCAGACACTCTCAGACACCCTCAGTATCCAAGTCCTGGATGATTGTGAGCAGTAACGCACTCAGTGTAACATCTATAAACAGATCAGTTACCCCTAATCAACTACTCGGTGCAAGGAGGAATCAATCAGTTCATTTTCTGTGCCATGCACCTCTCCTAAAGAACAACTCCTAATTGCTGCATGGATAAATCAGGAAGAGATATCACTCGTGCTAAGCATGTTATTTTAAGGGGTTACAGGTATTTCGAGCAGCTGAGAATCTCTTGGTTTTTGTATTTCTTATATCTTTTTGTTCTTCACCTGATTTCTGAGCAGTTACCAGCCTCAGAGTGGCTCCTGTATTCTTTCTGAACCTTCATTTTAAGATACTACAGTTCTCATAGCATTTACATATTTTGTGAATGCTGCAGCAATTCCTTGTAACTTTTGTGGTCATCTCCTTAATTCATAGTTTCCTCTGATTCCCGAAGTGTAATGGACATAGGAAAATTTTTTGATTATAATTTCCTAACCAAATAGCTCTTTTCTCTGCTCTTTGTTACATGTGATCTGCTATAGTTGCAAAACATATCTTCTATGTGACACCACAAGAGTTTTAAACAAAAATAAGATATTAAAAAAGTCTTAATACAAAAAAATATTGCCCAGCTGTTCAGTTCAGAGGGTTTGGCACAGTAGATCCCAAACAGTAGACTCATTCTAACATTTGATCTTTACCTTTGCTGGCTGTATCTGCAAAACAACCTGCCATTTGTGCATTACTGCATTTATGCTTTTCAATCAAGTGTTTGTGAAGAATTGCATTTATTAATTAGGACATAAATGCTTGCCAAATTAGGTATACTAAAGGCATATATGCAGGTCAATCCTGCACCATCACACGTACAAAGTGCATTTTACACAACACATCGCTTAGACTTTTGGGGAAAGATTAAAATCTGAATAGTAGATGGCAAACAGGACCTCACTACATTAATAACAACCAAGGATCATCATTGTCAATATTAATGAAACAGTGCTAGAAAAGCTTTTTTTTATCATTGCCTGGACAGCGTAAGTTTTTCTCCTATTAGATTTTTAATCAAGTTCAGACATTTTCAGAGTTGAGAGGCCTTTGCTGTCTCGTGCCCTTGTACAGCCTAACAACATGGCCACACTTCAGCCAGCTGTAATCCATATGAAGTCAATAGGACTTTCAAGTATGACAATTAAAAACCTTTGGAAAAAGCTTGCTTAATCAGTTTTTAAAAGATTTCAAGATCTGTATATGTCCACCATTATTTAAAATAAGCATTTTTTATTTGTTAGCCATCCAAGGACCTGATTTTTCTTCATTTGCCCATTAGCCTGGCAGTTTAGCCAGTAGAACCCTTTTATTCCTCCCACTGGAGTAGCAGAGAGAAATTCATTTGATTCTAGTGGATAGTAGTTGATTTCATTACCATATTATAGAAAATAAAGATTACAATTCCAAATTATTTTGCCTGTAGTCCACACACTAACCATGTAAATGGCAATATGTGGAAAAGTTGACTACATCATAAAAAATTTACTTCCTGCAAGGATTTTCTTGAATTGGTTTCAAAAGAATCTGCTGTTTGGCATCTTTCCTGTACTGAATTTCTGGAGGGTAACTGCATTATGTGCATGTAAAACATGCAAAAGGAAACATTCACTGAACTCCTTCTTTCTGCTACCAAATGTAACTGTACCACATTGTTTGTGTTTAAAAGACTTGCCTGAAAGCAAAACTCTACAGGCATACAAGGTTATAGATGTATGCATTGTAAGATAACCACTAATGGAAGGTGAAATACTCTTCTGCTCCACTTGCTGTTGAGTGACAAAGGTTGCATCTAATGATAATTTGAATATTCTGCTGACAGTTTGGGATATTCTGCCCCCACCAAAATAAATAAATAATAAATAAATAAAAAAATAAATAAATGCTTCCAACTCCCAGAGCAAATGCCTATAAGTCTATAGAAAACAAATTAGGAATGCGTTATTCTCAATGAAAAAAGTCTCCACAAGAGCTATAATTTTATTTTTTTTAGTGCACAGAATAACATAAATCAAAAGAAGCAATAGTCTACCTTGTGTTTTGACTACTTTGACCCTCTTCAACCCCTGCCAATTTTTATCTCATTTTTGTTTAACTTTGTACATCAGAGTTTAATTTTAAACCTGGTCCTGAAGACAGTGATGTATAGGGTACATCAAGTATAGCTTAAATTACCCTCTCCCCAGTGATTTGAAGTTGAGGGGAGGGTCTTACTCCACAGCAGGGTGGGAAAGAGAAATGGTCAGATGTTGCCCTTTGAACCTGACCACCCTCAGCTACAGAAACATTTATGCCAGAACATCATTTATTGATTTTATTATATTTTAGGATCTCCTAAAACTGTTGGTGAAGTTTACCATATATTAATTTCTGACACATGCATATAAAACCAGAAATATGGGTTGAGCAGAAACTATAAATATAGACAACACTGCCCAATAAACTTACATCCTTTCACTTATAGGTTTCTATTTCAGCTGATCATTCTGAGCAGCCTGTCTTTGAAAATAAATGTTACCCCTCTGATAAGCTAACCAATTTGAAGATTAAAGCTGCATTTGAGGATTAAAGTTTTTCTTATTTGATTATTGTTGTGTCTTGTAACAGTAGAAGATAAATATTAATAAAATGTTACAGTCCAATTTCTGCTCACTTTACGCATGTGAGCATTTTATACCAAGAGACCGAACAAATTATGCAGGATTTGGCCCTTAAACTCAGCATTGACTGCTCTGTTTTCTCAGTCCACTAAGAATAAGTCTCCCGTGAAATGTTACATGTACTCGGCAAACTCCTGAACCCACTGCTGCCACGGAAAACTCTCACTGATGGGTAGCTCCGAGAACTCACCCTCCAATTATGTACCACAGAGCTATGGATGTGTTTTTATTGAGGAGAATAAAAACCACAAGAAGTGCTCTACAACAGACCACAAAATGGGTTTGGCACCTGTGTCTGCCCGGAGCCGAAGTTTCGGAGTTGTGTTATCACGTGGCCCGCTGACCCCAGGAGAGCAGGGCTGACCTTGTCTTACACACAGAAGTCTATTGCTATGACTCCCCTGAGAGCACAAACCAGCTGCAAACTGCTGCAATGATTAACCCTTATGTGTTGTAGATGTAACATCGAGTCATGGTAATAAAGCTTTCACTGCATAACGGATCTCTTGCTTTGTAAATTGTTGCTCTTATCAGCTGCACTGGAGGATGTTATCCCTTTCCTGTGAAGCATGACTGCTGTGTTGTTCACTGGAAAGGAGACCAGATCTGTAGACTCGGTGATATTTATTCAATTGCTTTGAGAACAATACAGAGAATAAATACACTTTGTTTAAGCTAAAAATGCAGTGTGTGGAAACAAAAAACCCCATGAAATACTCATACATATGAAACAATATATTAATTAAAATCCAGAACGCCTGTAGCAGATTTGAATCTGGGAATGCCAGATTTGCTGTAACAGACAACTGTGTTGTTCTGTTGAGTCCAGGCTCCCATTTGTGGAAGTAATTTATACCCAACATTTTGTAAAAATGCAAACTTCCAGCCTGGAAGAGTTAACTGGGCAACTACAGAGCTTTGCTGTTTGGCTGGAAACAGACTGTTTGTAGCAAGCAGCACTCACATCCCCAAAATATAATCAGTGTAAGTCTTATTTTGTCATACACCCCAAACACCAGACCCAGTTCTTTGCTGTCCTATTTGCCCAAGCCAAGGGGAGTTCTGAGTGTGTCTCAGCTAAAATCCAAACCGCAGGCCCGTGAACAAGGCCCTGCTTCCTCAGAAACGTGATGCCTTTTATCTCAGCGTGCTTCCTACCTTCCAGCCCTTCCCTTGCCAAATCCGTGGCCACATCAAGGCTGTGAAAGCAAAGGTGACCTCAATGTAAGCCCTGGTATGATACGATATTATCTGCTTTAGTCTGCACAGAGCCAGAAACACTATCTGAGAGATGGAGGCTGTGTGTGTCACGAGGGCTGTCACTGCCCACAGTCACCGTTTCAAGAGGGGCTTTCCAACATCCCAAGAGCCAAGAGCAATGAAAAGGATTTGTTCCATGTATCCACCCATCGAAGCAGCAGCTCTGTGTGGTTTAGAGGCACAGGACTGTGGTCCTTGTTATTGCTCTGTCTCTCTGCAGCTCAGAGGCTGGACAGACCAAGAGCATTGCAGCTCCCAGGGACTGTTTGTAGATTTTACACACAACCTTTTTCAAAGGATAAAACCAGCTTCTGGGTTCAGGAATAAACCAAAAAAAAAAAAAATCCCTTTGGTATAAACAGTGGGAAAAATAAAAATTCAATTTAAGGAAACAAAAATTGTTTTCCCTAAAAATCTGAGGTCTTAAGAGCTTTGGGAGGGGATATTGTGAAAGGCTGTTGTGAATACACTGTTTGGGAGTGTAGTACCCTAATGTCACTTGGTGCAGATTGAGAAAGGGTATTGGAAAACTTTTTCAGCTGAGGAGTGACAACTACGAGGGAGGCTGTAATGACAATGGGTTTCCTTGCAAGATTCCCAGGTGTCCAGAGGAAGCAAGTTAGAGCCCTTTGATAAGAAGTAAATTAACACCTCTCTGTGGTCCATGACTCATCCCTTTTTCCACACCTTTCAATCACATTGTTTCAGCCTGCCCCAATGAAGTAGAGGAGGATCTGCAGGAGCAGTGCTTGGGCTGGCCTGGCCAGGGGCTGCACCAGGTATTTCTTATTTCTTACCAAGGAAAAGGCTGCTCTGGGCTAATGATGCTTTGCTGTTTTGTATCTAGATTCATCTACTTGAAAAATAGCACAGATAGTTTTACTGCAGAAGTTAGGCTAGACAGGATTGTTCTTCACTCGTGAGCACAGGGAGCATTTTCCCACAGGGACAGCAAATGAAAGGAATGAGTTTATTCCTCTTTCCCCAACGCCACCTCCATAGGCACATCAGTGCTATTTTAACATCAACAGCTGTAATTAAAAAAAAAAAAATACTATCAAGACCTCTGTGAGTCCTGCTACAGCAAATATACATAAAAAGACAGTGACAAAACATTTAAACTCCAAAACTGGCAGGAATACAGAGAGGCAGTAACTTCATTTACTCCCTCATCGAGCCCAGCAGCTCCTGTTTTTCTCTGAATAGCAGCTGTGGTCTCCCAGGTGGAGGCTGTTGGCCTCTGAATGGAGCAGAAGTTGCCTGCTCCCTCTTTAGTAGGATGGGGAAGGGTCTTTTGGTGACGGTTCCTTGTGTCCTGCCTGGCTCCTGTAGGTGTGAGAGACTGGTGAGGAGGAGGAGGTGGCAGTGGGCTCCAGGTGCTGTGGGACTGTGTCCTGTCCTGGGGCTCTGCCTTTGGAAGCTGGAGAGGCCCTGTGTGCCCTTTCACATCTCATCCCTCCTCTGGCTGCCACTCTTGTTTCCAAGGTACTGTTGTCTTGATATTTGGTTCCTCAAAGGGGAGAGAGAAGCAACAAATTTACTGAAATTATCTTGATGTTATTTTGTTCTCTTGTGGGGTTTCTTGTGTGAAGGGTGTATCTCCTCTATTAACTCCCATTAATATCAAACATCTACTATCCTATTAATAGGATTTGCATATGGAAAGGAAGAGGATTGACCTTTAAATTCATTAAATAAAGCAAATTTAAAAAAAATAATTTTAGTTAAAAGCATTAGTGTGATGAAAAATAGAAGAACAAATACATAGACATCAGTATCTGGGCTTTCATTAACACTAACGAGCAAATTATTGCAAGGGAAGATTTGCATCATTGGAATACGTATTCCAGCCTCCATACTGATATATGTGATGCAGGGTTATCTTTGTATAGCTCCTCTTTCAGAATATATTTTCTTTTTATAAAATAGCCTCTTTTTAACTCCCATTGGGGCTCTCCTTATAAATGAGGAACTGGTCCTCAAGGGACTGGCCTGGCTAGAAAAGTGTGTTATTAGGGAAAAAAAAGTGCATATTAGAATACTAAGCAATATAATTAGCTCATTTCTTTGTTTTTTTTAGAAAATCTTAAAAAAAAAGTAGAGCCAAGTTTAATTAAACATATTCTCTGGATGTTTGAATTGTGTAAGAATTAGAAAATCCTGTTGTATTTTAGAGGGATTAATTGCATCAATTTAAGGTTCTTGCTCTAATCTCCAATATGCAGTCAGGTATCATTGCTGCTCTTGCAAAGCAGGTACAGTGCTGCAAATAAGTGATGTTTGCCCACAAATCTGAGGCCACAAGCTGCCCCTTGGGTGGACATTCTCAGCCCGTGAGTGGTAATTAATGTATTCATCTTCTAATCTTTTAGACAGGAAAAAACATAGGTTCTCTATAGCGAAACTGGCTAAATCTGCAGATTCAAAATATTATAGTTCCTAATGATAAATATTGATTTACACGTGTTGAAAAGCTTCTGTTGCCTTCACAGCAAGGAGTCTAAAATATAATTAGATTAGTAATGTTTCTGCCACCAAATCACTTTTTGAGGCTGATTCTTGAGACACTGATGTTCAGAGGTCTCAGGATCTCCAGCATTGCTTTGCTCTTAGGTCTTAACCCATCTGTGTCTCAGCTTTCCAAAACACAGCCCTTTGTAAAGTACTTTGAGATACTTGGATGAAACTTGCTGTCTGTCCAAAGTAGTATTAATCAGTATTTTTTGCTATTTTGTTATGCAGCTCAATCTATAAAACCAGCTATTTATTCCGATCCTGTTCTATCTCAGGCCCCCACAAGTAGGAAGAGGTGAAATGTTTCAGGTTATTCTGCTCAGAGCTCAGCTAATGTCATCTGCTGAATACAGCTCTAAACATCTGAAGCTGGTGAAATTAAATAAAGTGTGAGCATCCTTTAGTCTGGAGCTCTTTGCCTTTAAAACAATTACTCATGGTAACCTTAACAATGGTATATTAAGAAAAAAAAATCCTCATAAAAGAATGTGGTGTTAGGATGGAGCTCTGCCTGATATTAGAACAATTATGGAGCAGATGCATCCACTCTGAACAAAGTGACCTTTTCATCAAGTTACAAAACATTAAAGGTTAAAGAATGTTTGAAAGGAAGTTAATACTTTTAAAACATTAGAAAAAAATTGCCATTCTTTCAGGACCTGACCAAAATCAGTGGGAAACTATGAGATGACTGTTTAGGCACATCCAGTCATAATTTAAGCAACTCTTATTACAGAAGGATATTAGCTATTTTATATCGTCTGTTTTATTTTACAATTAGAGGTGCTTTTTCAGAGAAGAAATGAGATTTGATAGGAATAAATACCCAATGACAGAAACCTGCTCTAAAGCTTGGCTAATTGCAATTTTAAAGTCGCATTTCTTCCTCTCCATTGTGTACAGAGGAGAACAAAGAGAGGGAATCAATGGTGGTGTCAGATTTTCTTAGTTTCCACGTTTCACCTGACCCGGGCGGTGCAAACCCCAGTGACCAGCCGGGGAGCAAAGCGCCGCGGCTCCTGCCCCGCGCTGCCCCCGCACACGGCGGGGACGCGGCTCCTGCTCACCCAGGGCCGCCCGGGAGGGGACAAGTGCCCGGGACCACCTCCGGGGTGCGGGACAGGAGCGGGGCGCCCGTCGCCCTCTCGGGGCTCGGGGCCTGCTTGGTGTATGCCCGGACAGCGGATCTCTGACATTTCCATTAATTTTTCCCGGCCAAGGGGTGAGGGTGGGGGATGCCGGGTGCCGCACACGTTGTTGGACCCCGCACACGGCCCCGCAGCGCCCGGGCCCCGCGCTCTCCCTGCGCGATAAATTCAGTGCAGCCCTCCCTGAGCAGCAGCCGCCGGGCACGCGGGGAGTGGGAATTCGGGATTTACGGCCCGGCGGCCCCGCCGGGGCTGTTTTTGTGTCTGTGTCCTGGCGGCCCCGCTGCGGGGTCAGAGCGCGGGGGAGGAGGAGGAGGAGGAGGACGAGGCGGGTCGGGGCTCAGAGAGCCGGTCCCCCTCCTCGGCCCCGTGCGCGTCCTCGCGGGGGCACCGAGCTCCGTCCGCTCTTTGGGGCCGGCGGGGGCGGCTGTAGCTTTTCCCTTCCCTCGGCGGTCAGTGGGGCCCGGAGCGGGTCAAGGTGCGCTACCGGCAAATGGGCAACTTCTTAAAGATAAACTTCCACGTCTCAGTGCAAGCGCTATGTGCCAAACGCTAAAGACCCGCCTGGGAAGGAAGTTTCTGTGAAAAGAAAGAAGGTTTTTGCTCGAACTTAAGCTTTATCAACTTCCCACTTCAAGTATTTTTTTTTTTTAAGTGTATCTGTGCACAACAAAATCTTCATTGCGTCCAGTCACAGGCGGTCAGCAGAGAAGCAGCCGTGCCAGCTGTGCGATGGGAACTTTGAGGTGATGCGAGGAATAAGAGGGGAATCCCTTCCCCTTCTCCGGGATCCTCCAAATGCCTTTCAAATTAGCCAGCCCTGAGGATCATTGCCAGGCTCCACAAAGGCGTTCCCAAAGCCTGCAGCCAGTAAAACTTTGTGTAGGTAAAATTAGCTAAAGCCCTTCTGCTGAGACAACAGCCTTTGTTGTCACATGTGGTAGAGTTCCAGGATTTGTAACTATTTTTCATAAAAGGTTTTCCTGCTGCCCCAGTCAATGCATTACGCTACAGTAGCTCTGAATGGTATCGCTTATTTCCTTCAAAGCAGCGGCCGCTTGTTTCTTCAGAGACCTCAAGTCCTTTCAAGGACTTCAAGGGGGGCAGAAAAATGTGATAGCTGAGGGGGGACTGAATCGCGCCGATAGATCTTATTTTAGCGGCATCATCGCCACAGGGCGCGGCCCCTGGGAGCGCGGCGGGTGCCGGGGCGGGCGCTGGCCGGGCCGAGAGGGGCTCAGCCCGAGGGAAAGCCCAGCTGGAACGAGGGAGAGCCGGAACAACTCGGTGGCCGAGGGGGAAGGCAGAGTCGCTGCCACCGCCGCGGGGACGCGCCGGGGACGGCTCTCCGTGGGGAGGGCAGCAGCGGCGGCATCATCCCGCAGAGCCGCGGCCGGGCCGAGTTTAACTTGTTGGCACCCGGAGGGGCGGGGGGGCTTCTCCTCCGCGGGGCCCCGCGGGAGAGGAGCCGCTGCCGTCGGCCGTCGCCGCGGGGGACGGAGGGAGCGTCCGCCGCGGGCACCTCCGGGCTGCGGGGGCTCGCTCCGGTGCAGCTGCGGGGTCCCCGGACCGGGCCGGACCGCTCCGCTCCGCTCGGTCCTCTGCAGCGCCCCACTGCTCCCTCGGCCGAAGTTTCCACCCCTTTTCTTACCTACTGTCTTGATGTTTTTCTTGGGGGGATGTATTTCTGATATCTGCGGTTGGGTGAGGAATTACTGTCAACTCTGGAGGGAAGCGAATCGATTCGGACAAGATTACCTCCAGCTTAAAATAAGGCTTCCAAATATGAAGACACTGGGCGTACTTAGACTTGCCCTTTTTCCCCGTGCTCTTGTCGAAATGCCTGGTCCTGATTGCAAGGGCACAGCTTTTCCAGTTCTGATTTTCTGGGGCTTATTGCATGTCAGAATTGTAAAAGTCCTCTGGACAATTTACAGACAAAACATCTGGTTCGTTAAAGCAAAGCTACTGGACTAAGACAAACAAACTTTGCTGCTGTGTAAATTTCACTTACCCAAACAATTTACATTCAAGCAAAGATTTTTAGCCCGAAGAAAAAACTTTTATTCATTTGTATTCAGGAGGTTTGGGAATTCACAGGCATTTTAAAATAATTTTGCTCTAATAAAGTTATGTAGATATTACAAAATGTCTTTGTTCTCTTCTCAGATAATTATCGCTGCTATAATGGTTATTGACAACACTTTGTATTTTACAGAAGCGCAGTATCGTTTTCGGACGCGGGCAGTGGGGTTTTTTAAACAAACTTGTCAGATCCGTATTCATCTGGTCCAGCCTTAATGAAAGCTGCTGCTTCTTTGTTCTTCGCCAGGAGAAACCCAAGTACTTCCAGCATTTCGATGGTGCTGCCGAGGCATAGGGCAGGAGGGCAGGCTGTGCCCTGGCACAGAGGGCCGGGGGTGCCCGGCGGGACCGGCCGCGGGGCCGCCGCGTTGTGCGCGCCCGGTGCCGGCGGCGCCTCCGCGGGGCTCCCCCAGCCCAGCCCGCGGTCCGCCCGGGGCTGCGGGGGCTGCCCGGGGTAGGTGAGGCCCCCGGCCGCCAGCCCGGCCCCTCTGCCCCCGACAGCCGCTGCCCCGCACCGGTGGCTCCAAAGGCCCCGGCTCGCCGGTGCCCGACCCTTCCCCCGGGCCGGGGGCACTCGGGTACTTTCTCGCGGGTCCCCGCCGGCTCCTCTGCCCCGCTGGAAGGGGAGGCGCCGGCAGAGCCGGGCCGGGGCCGCTCGGTGCTCGAGGCTGACCCCCGGAGAGCAGTGAACCGGTGCGAACAGCGAGGGAGAGCAGCCACACACGGGCACCTCGGCGCACGCCGCTCCTTGCCTTGTTTGCAGGGAGCAAGTGGCGAAACATCAACACGCTGCTCGGGAGAGAACAAGGTTAAAGCCCGGGTAAAACACGCTGGTTTCTAAGAGGCGGCCGTTCCAAGTTTGCTAAACTTCCTCACTGATCCTCTTTGGCCGTTCCCATAGCCAGCAGTTAATTCCAGGGGTCCTTTGTCGGCTCAGCTGCTGTCTCCGCTCGTGCCAGGGGACGGGAGGGGTGTCTCGGGCAACTGGTGGAGTTTTGGCGTAGGGGAATGAAGTGAGCAGGAAAATGTACACCAAAGAAAGGCACTAAGCAGCGTCCAGTGGTGAAAGATAAAACATTCTTAGCTGATGGAAAGTTCAGGAGTGATGGTTATCTAATTATGTGACTTATAAATAATTGGTACCTTAGTTTAAAACTGCTGGAAAGAGCGAGCTTAGGGCTGAGCCTCGTATGCTGAGCCTTTGTAGATGGAGTCTGCTCAGCCTTCGATTTGATGCGTTATGTTTGGAAGTGTTACACTTCATAAAGTTGCGGGTTCCAGCTTTCTGGAATAGATTGTGACCCCGAAAGAAGCCGACGCACATGAAGGCATCTGCACTTCCCTCTGTAAATCGTCTGTTAGAAAGTTCAATAGATTTTTTTTCTTCCTTTTTAAAAAAAATTAATATAGTTAACAACCAAATTATTCCCCAACTTCCTGAGCATTTTGGCACTGAGTTGTGAATGTGTAAGCGCAGGGCATGTGTCTGTGTGCACGTATATCTGCTGCCTTTCTCTTTCACACACAGGAGAATTATTATTTCTAACTGAACTCAGAAAGTTCCTCCAATTACTTTTTACGGAAAGTTTCACTTATTTCATTACCCCCCCCAGTCCCAGCTCGGCGCACTGGTACGAGCCCATCACTCTCCACTGCCGGCGCGTGTGGGCCGCCCTTTGCAAAGCCAGGTAAGCGCTGTTTGCACAAACCTCCCCACGCAGCGGGGCCGGGGACCGTCTCGCGTGTTTGTTTGCGTTAAGTGACACCGCTCAGCTGCTGAGGTGCCACCTGCCAGCATCTTCCACGCAGGCTGTGCTGCGGGAGGCAGAGCTCTGCTCGGGAGCCTGTTCCAACACAAATGCCACCACATGCATAAACCCACGCCCGCGTGTGGGAGAGCGCACCCGCGGGAGGAGGCTGCGCACCCCGCCGGGCACCCGGGCCCAGCCAAGCGGGCAGGGGCTGACATCCCTCCTGCGGGCTGAGGGTGATACAAAGTCGGTGAGAAATGAGCAGATTTAGGGAGAGGGAAACGGAAGGAATAAAAAAACTTCTTCCAACTTGCAACCGCCCCAAAATTCGGGATTGGTCGCTGCAGCGCGTTCCTCGGGATGCCCCCGTAGCCAGCTTGAGGAGAATCGTGATCGTCACTGGCTTTAGTGAGGGCTTTCGTATATTTCTGAACAGCCTTCCCAGGACTGCAGTGACTACACTCGCGCCGTATCGTTTTAATTTTGCTGTAGTTTTCAGGGCGCTTTACCAGCGCCTGGTGGCAGAGCGACCTTCCTCCTGCGCTCCGTGCGGCAGGCAGGGACAGAGCCGCCTGGGGCTCCCGAGGCTCTCGGCCGAGCATCCCAAAGTTTGTTGCAGCCTCTCCCGCTCCAGAGCTCGGAGGAATCCTCCATGTTGCGCAGCGCGGGCCGGCTCGGTCGGCAGCCCCTGAGCCCCGGGTTCGCCTCTCGCCGGCTCCGCGCTCGGTGCGGTCCCGCGGAGCCGGGAGCGCAGCCGGGCTGAGCCCCAGCCCCTGTCCCTGCCCCTGCCCCCGGACGGCAGCATCCTTCGGAGGGGGGTGGGGGGCGTGAATTATTTAGGTTTTCCATTTCTTAATTCCTACTTAAAGGGGGAGGAGGGAGAGGGGAATGAACGAGCTATTAACCGCAGCCGAGCCGCGCTTTCCCGAGGATGTCTAACATTTGTAAATACTTATGCTGCGGCTGGGTCCCCTCCTCCCCGGTTGTTTAGTATGTCGGTTATTTGTACCGAATCCCGGTCTGCGTAGCGTCTGATGTGTTGTCGTTGCAAATGTGCGGCCGGGGTGACACTGATGGATGCGCCAATGGTGAGACGGACAGATGTTAGGGCGGATCTAGCGGCACGCACCGCCGCGGTGCGAGCCCGCCCGCCCGCCCCGCCGGGGCTGCCCGCCCGCCCGGCCCCGTCCTGCCGCACGGCTCACCCACGCCCGCACACACTCACACACACGGGCGTTTTTGGGGAAGCGGGGTGGGTGGGGGGGGAACATCTCCGTGTCGTCTCTTAAGCAGATCTGATCGCTCCTTCTGTGAGCAGATACTGTAACTGTGAGGAGCAACCAGCGAGTATCAATGAGATGGAACTGAGCGAGTTTGGCAGCAGAAGCGGCAATTGACAACTCACCATTTTCTTGTTTGCAAGAGAAATGTTTCGTTTTCCCCCAACAGTAGCAATTTCCCGGGGACTTTAGGCGACTGCGATTATTTTTTTCATCCTAAAGATCAGCTTAGGAAAAAAAAATCAACTCATAACAATAATAATCAAAAAAAAAATATCCCAAAACCTTCTCCACCCGTCACGTAAAGTGTTTGAATTTCCTGCAACTTGAAAGGGAAGCGAGAGCCCGAGAGCGGCACGGCGGCTTTATAGGATGTGAAGACGCAACAACATCTGCACTTAGTCAGGTATTTGGAATTATCCCAACTCTCGAAGAATGGGGGCGAGAGAGTGGAGATTTTTTTTTTTTTTTGATCTTACCGTAAAA